GAGACTCCGTCTCAAAAAAAAAAAAAACAAAAAAAAAACAAAAAAGAAATTTCTTCTGCTAGATACCCTAAATCATCTCTCTCAAGTTCAAAGTTTCACAAATCTCTAGGGTATGGGCAAAATGCCGCCAGTCTCTGTGCTAAAATATAGTAAGAGTCGCCTTTGTTCCAGTTCCCAGTGAGTTCCTCATCTTTATCTGAGACCACCTCAGCCTCACCTAATTATTCATGTCACTATAATCATTTTGGGCAAAGCCATTCAACAAGACTCTAGGAAATTCCAAACTTTCCCACATTTTCCTGTCTTCTTCTGAGCCCTCCAAACTGTTTGAATCTCTGCCTGTTAATCCAGTTCCAAAGTCACTTCCACATTTTTGGATATCTTTTCAGCAGCACCCCACTCTACTGGTACCAGTCTACTGTATTAGTCCATTTACATGCTGCCAATAAAGACATACCTGAGACTGGGCAATTTACAAAAGAAAGAGGTTTATTGGACTTACAGTTTCATGTGGCTGAGGAGGCCTCACAGTCATGGTGGAAGGTGAGAGGCACGTCTCACATGGCAGCCTCGAGAGAGAGAGAGAGAGAGAGAGCCAAATGAAATGGGTTTCCCCTTATCAAACCATCAGATCTCGTGAGACTTATGCACTGTCTTGAGAACAGCAGGGGAAAGACTTGTCTCCATGATTCAGTTACCTCCCACTGGGTGCCTCTTACAACACATGGGATTCAAGATGAGATTTGGATGGGGACACAGCCAAACCATATCAAAGGTAGTATATCCTTCTGGTTTTGATTTGTATTTCCCTGATGATGTTGAGCATCTTTTCATATGCTTATTGGCCATTTGTATATATCCTTTGGAGAAATGTGTATTTTAGTCCTTTGCTCATTTTTTTTTTTTTTTTTTTGAGACAGAATCTCACTCTGTTGCACAGGCTGGAATGCAGTGGTGCAATCTCACTGCTCACTGCAGCCTCCGCCTCCTGGGTTCAAGCAATTCTCCCTGCCTCAGCCTCCAGAGTAGCTGAGATTACAGGCGCCCACCACCATGCCCAGCTAACTTTTGTATTTTTAATAGAGTCAGGGTTTGGCCATGCTGGCCAGGCTGGTCTGGAACGCCT